ACCTACATCCTATCAGACTGCTCCAGATAAAAACTGGATTTCAACAATAACAGAAACAACAGAAAGCCTACAAACTCATGGGAACTGAACAGTTCTCTACTGAATTACCAATGGTCAAGTATAGTGAGATACCCACTTAGCACGTACCTATGGCACTGACCATGCCCTTGTGGGTATGGTCACAGGTATGGATGTGACAGACAGTGGGTTTAGGTCTAGGGTCCGGGACAGGTGGTCTCTTGCTTCCGGTCAGGTCACAGAGGGCAGCTGGTGTGATCCTTGGTGTGGGAACTTGTGGTGGACATCTGCTTATATATGTGCCTTCTCCCTGAATAAACTTCATTTAACCTGTACTGAGTCTAGTGAATCTTGATTCCCATGCAATCGTCAAGGCAGAAATAAAGAAAGAAATTAAAGGCTTCCTAGAATTCATGAAATTGAAAGCACAACACCCAAACTTAGGGGACACAATGAAAGCAGTGCTAAGAGGAAAGTTTAGAGCACTAAGTACCTACATAAAAAAATGTAAGAGATCTACTAGCAAATTTACAACACACCTGAAAGCTCTAGGACAAAAAGAAGCAATCAAAGAGGAGTAGATGGCAGGAAATAATCAAACTGAGGGCCGAAACAAACAAAAAATATATATATACAAAGAGAATAACACAGAGAATCAATGAAACAAAGAGTTGACTCTTTGAGAAAAATCAACAAGATAGACAAACCCTTTACCAAACACAGACATAAAATGCCACAATTAACAAAATCAGAAAGAAAAAGTGGGACATAGCAAACAATACTGAGAAGATACTGAGGAACTCCAAAATATTATTGGGTCATACTTTATAAAATCTAAAAGAAATGATAGCTTGCTTGATAGACACCACCTACCCCAATTAACTCAAAATCAGACAAGCATTTAAATATGCCTATAAACCCTATGGAAATAGAGGCTGTTGTTAAAAGCCAACCCCCACCCCCCAAAAAAGCCTAGGGCCTGATGGTTTTAGCACAGAATTCTGCCAGACTTTCAAAGAGAAGACTTATTGCCAATAGTCTCAAATTACTTCACAAAATAAAAGCAGAAAGAACAGTGCTAATTTCATTTTATGAGGCCGCAGTCACCCTGATACCCAAACCACACAAGGATTCTACAAAGAGAATTATGTACCAATTTCCCTCATGATCACTGATACAAAAATACTCAACAAAATACTCATATACAAGTACTTTTCCAGAGCCGGGAGGTGGTGAACACCTTTAATCCCAGCACTCGGGAGGCAGAGGCAGGCGGATCCCTGTGAGTTCGAGGCCAGCCTGGTCAACAAGAACTAGTTCCAGGACAGCCTCCAAAGCCACAGAGAAACCCTGTCTCGCAAAACCAAAAAACCAAAACCAAAATAACAAGTACTTTTCCTGTTACTGCAATGGACAGTCCACTACATGATTCAAATGGGTAATTTTAAAAGTCTGTATTGGTATAGCCCTTAAATATAAAAATTTAGGAGGTTTAACCAGTCGACATCAAGGTCATACAGAGATCAAGGTCACATGAGTCAACATAAGAGAGCTTGTCTCAGAAACATTTTTTGAAAAGGCTACAGGTAGAGTTAATATGCATTCCTAAGGAGAAAACACTCCACACATTTAAGAATGATGAGGTACAATCTCATTAGTAATAGTATGCACTCAGCTCTGGATCCTGCCCAACAAGGAGCCAGCCTAGAACGGAGTTTACATTCCACATATGCTGTCATCCTTAAGTCTCTTTTAGGTTCAGGTTATACTTTGAACAATTTAAATAGGGACATGAGACTGAAATTCTAGCCAGATGGGAGATTTACACAGAAAAGAATTATTCAAGTGCTTCAGTGGCCTGAAACAGCAGGTCTTTCTTCAGTGACAGGACCCTAGGGTGGGAAGGGGGAGGTTCCAAGGCAACTAGAGGATAGAAAAGATAACAGCTGGTGTCAGGAGGTCTTGCACAAGCTGTCTTATGTCAAGCAAGTTTCTTAAGAAAAATAGCATCTCGTATACTACTTCCAGGCTGGAAATGAAAGGAATGAGGGGCTTCTATGATGCCGGCAGAAACATACAATGGGGAAAATTCAGAAGCATAAACAACATAGCCTAAGGGGAACAAAGGGTATCTGAAGAACCTTATTTACCAAGCAGACAGTGGGTGTGGGCCTGATAATCACAGCCCCATGTGGTAACAAGAGTTGTGTTCTCAGGATCTGAAGCAACCCCTCCCCAAAGGCCCTGGCCCCAGACCACTGCCAGCTCTCCCAAGTGTATTCCAGGCTTTAAAGGAGAAGCTGTTCTTGTTCTATACCTCAGTCTTAGTAAGCTCCCAAGGTCTAGGTCCCACTGCTACTGACTCTGCCACACATGTTCCTAGGATGGAGAGGAGCTGTTCCTTCTCCATACATGAGGGGCTTAGGGAAAACATCACTTTTTCCTTTTCCAAGACTCGTTACCCAATGCTGTCTTGCCCATCTGGCATAACTACACTTTCCCAAAGAATGCATGTTCATGCCACACCTGACCTTTGTGCTGGTCCTACACCTGTAATGCTCCATTGAGCAGCTCGATAAGAGTACGGATGGGACTAGTAACTGGTGGTAAGTCAGGGTTTTCTCTCTTGTTTTGGTTTGGAGACAAATTTCTGGTTAATCCTGGTGAACAGTTACATCCTGCCCTCTAATCTCAAACAGGCCTGCCTTGTTATAGTTTAATGGTGGAGGTAGCATTGGTGGCTTAGAGGGAAGGGACACTGAAGCATTAATTGATCTTAATAAAATGCCAGAGTCAAATGTTAGGGGCTGAAAACTGAAAGATCTGACAAGCAAAGCAGTTCTTACCTCTATAAAAATCCTCAGACTGAAATGAGGTTGAGCTCCTATCTGCTTCTGCCTTATGTTCCTCTCTCCACCCAGCCATATCGCTTCCTGTCTGTACAGTCCTCCAGATCACTATGATTAACTAGTAGCTAGTTATGAAATTGATTTAGTTTTGGTATGTGGTACCTGAATAGTACTGTCTTTCCAGCACGGGGCAGCATTAGATGTTCAAAGCAATTCTCAATTATATAGTGTGAAGCAAGTCTGAGCTGCAGGAGATCGAAACCAGTAGTTCTCAACCTTCCTAAGCTGTGACTCTTTAATACAGTTCCTAGAGATGTGGTGTCCTCCCAACATTAAAATTATTACCGCTGCAACTTCATAACTATATTATTGTTACAGTTAAGAATTGTAATACAAATATCTGTGTTTTCTGGTGGTCTTAGGCCAGTCCTGTGATAGGATCATTTGATTGCTGACCCCTGAAAGACAGCTGTGACCCCCCCAGGTTGAGAACCACAGCTCTAAACTGATATAAATAAACAAACAAACAGCATATAAGAAAAAATGGAATGAAATTCTTAAACCAGGGAACTCTGGAAAATACAAACAGACGGAGATCAGAGCAGTAATGCATTGAAAGAAAATGAAATTTAAAAAAGGATACCAATAATTGACTTTTTAAAATGATAAAAATAATGGGAAGAACACTTAGCTATACTGACTTTGAAATGGAGTTATCACTTGCCTGGTAGGGAGAATGCCATTAATAATAGCAACTGAGTTCTGTAAGCTGACACATGGAGTTACAGCCAATGGCTTGTGTCTCAAGCCTCTGAGCTGACTTAACACAGATCTGCATAGGAGAGTTTGCTCAATGGAAACTGAATACTAAGAAGTTCAAGCTATGCTCTCTAAACTGTACACCCACCCATTCTGTCTATCTCTATTCACATGGAAGGAATTAACACACACTGGGAAATTCTATCAGGTCCTTCCTTATGATGGGGACCCCTGCAGCTCACTGCCTTAAACTTCAGCCTGTGACCTAGCTACTGTCTAGTCTATCTCCCTGCAGTGCACACAGTACACTGTTCCTCCTCTTCTGGTCTGAAGGGAGAAGCCATGCTCCACACACAAATCCTTCTCCTGTTACTGCAATGGACAGAACACTATGTGACTCAAACTGGTCATTTTAGAACTCTGTTGTTCTGTAGGGTGTGCTCCAAGAATTCAGGCTGGGCAGTGAGAACAGCAAAGGCAATGCCCTGTGGACTGCAGACAGGGATCAAGCCCAACTCACTCAACATAGGAGAGCTTGACTCAAAACTGCTTTTCAAGAAGGCTGGAGATGCAGCTGTTCTAGAATTAACACACCTTCACAGCACACCAGGACTTAATGTTGGTCGTGACCCTGTAATGATTCCCCTGAGCAGCCTGTCAGAGGTGTTTGATGGGGAGGTGGGCCTTTTGGCTGGCTGAAAATCAGGGCTGTATCCTTTGTTATGAGAATGTAGCTTAGTGGCCCAGTTAATCCTGGTGAACAAGCAATTGCATCTTATCACAATCTCTAACAATGAAGGTTAGCGTTTTATCATGCTAATCTTTAACAGGCCTGGTTCACACACTGCTTATCTTTGGGGGTATTTGGAAGTCATCCCTCCCTTATCTACATTGTTAATGTCTCCTAAGAATTGGTAAATCCTTATACCATCAATTCTATTCTACGCCACACGTTTGCAGTGGTACACTACACAGGAGATACCGTTTACAAGCGCCACAAAACTAACTACAGACGGATCCTAAACCTAAATGTTGAGAAAGTGGAGAACTTCTGGAAGATACCGGAGAGACCAGGGATCTCCGAGTTTGGCAAGTCTGGTGATGCCTCTCCACTTGGGACAAACTAAGCACTACGGGAACTAGCATTTCACGGCGGTGTCAACAACAAGGGTATTTCTAGGCACAGTTCCGCCCCCAGGGGGCGAAGTTATTAAGAGGCGCAGGAAGTTGCGAGGACCACCCAGGACGACGCAGGACTAGGCAGGAGCGCGCCGCGCTCTGTGTCTCCCACCCAGCCGTGGGAGCCCACTCCACAGGCTCGCGAGGCTCGGCCGGCCGCTCTACCCCGCCTGGGGACGGCGGCCCCTCACTCACCATGGTGCGGCCGCAGAGCTGACCCGGAGTCTCTCCACCACGGAGCCCGCAGTGTAGCACAGGTGACAACTTCCGACTTCCGCAGCAGAGGAGTTGAGCCAGACACCGGGTTCCAGGAAAGCCCCTCCCATGGGGGTCCGCTGGAGCGCACGATTGGCTCGTGAGGCCTGAGTGACAGCACACTAGCCAATGGAGCCTGAGTGACGCACCGCGGTGAGCTGAAGAAACGGTGTGCAGGGGTTACCAGTCCCGGCTGCCCATGCAGGACAGGGCTCTCCCAGATTGCAGGGAGGTTTGTGCCAAACTCAAAAGCAAGTCTCTCAGTCGCTCTCTCTCACTCTCGCTCTGTTTTCGTGTCATAATTTACTTTAATAAAAAATACAGGGGCTGGAGAGATGGCTCAGTGGTTAAGAGTACTGTCTCCTCTTCTAGAGGCCCTGGTTTCAATTCCCAGCACCCACATGGAAGCTCGCAATGGTTTGTAACCTTCACACAGACATACATGCAGGCAAAACACATAGACAAATGCACATAGAATAAATAATTGTTTTTGCCCGGCATTGGTGGTGCACACCTTTGATCCCAGCAGCCCGGTGGCAGAGGCAGGCGAATCTCTGAGTTTGAAACCAACCTGGTCTACAGAGCGAGGTCCAGGAGAGGCTCCAAAGGAATACAGAGAAACTGTGTCTCGAAAACACAAAAAACAAAAAAGCAACAACCAGTCCCCCCAAAAACAACTGAATATGTATCACAGATTACATGAAACTATACACAATGGCATTCTTTCTGGATAGTAGCATTCTCTGAATTTTAAAATGGATTTTATTTATAAATCCTTTAAAGTGCATAGTAACAAACACTATTGAATTCTAAAATGGATTTTTATAATCCTCTAAAGTGCATTTTATTTAAAGGTTTAAGCAAATTATAGTAATATCAAAACAGAAACTGAAGTTGAATAGTTAAATCGGAAGTGGTTGGCATAGATGCCAGATTCACTTGTAATACTGACTATCCTTCTACCCCAACCTGGACCTAAATGCTGACGACTGAGACATTCCTTTAACTGGCAAGAGGTGAATGTTTTTCTGTCTGCTTTGGTGCATTCTAGCCGAAGAGAACTATGAATCCTGTGTGGCTCCTCTCAGCCACAGTGAGATGCCCCCTGCCCCGTGAAAGAGAATGAGGAGAGCTCTTGCCTCTGCCTCAGCAGTGTGACAGCCTTGTTGCAGCTTTAGCGTCTGTGGCGAACTACCTAAGAAACAACCACAGAAGCTTCGGAGGAACTAGCTAGGAGAACGCTTCTGATGGGATGAGTGTGTGTGTGTGTGTGGGGGGGCAATAGGTCAGTCACTACTGTGACAGAATATTGCCACTGCTTTTGTTTTTCTGTCATTTTTCTTCAGTTGGTGAAAATAATGATTCCCATAGGCTGCTGCCCCAAAAGAAGCCCACCCGAGTCATGAAGGGAGCAAAATGTTAAGTGCTGCCTCCACTTGATTCTACTTGGAGAGCTTTTTCATCTTGAAAAGACTCTTACTAGAGTATATGGCAAGACAGGCTGTCCTGGCTCTGCAAGGACTCGCCCCAGGGGTGGGGGGGCTTTGCAAGGACTCACCTAGGAAGAGGGACTTGGGGGAGGGGAACAGACAAAGAGCTTGCCCTTCCAGCTTAAACAGGAAACATCCAATCTTAGGAGCACTGTGATCACAGGTTTTGGCTTTCGTCTAATTTCCCTTTTGGAAATTCTGGATGGAGTTGAACAAAGCCTCATGGTTCACACCATTCGCAGCCTGGGGGAGGAGCAGGGCAGGCATCTCTGTGCCTGAGGTGGTGGAGGGAGGGACCTGAAGGTGAAGGCGGTGGTGGAGGAGTGGGGGGGGGGGGGGGAGATGCTGTGGAGGGTGGGGCTGGAGAGGACGGAAATGGGGTTGGGGGCTGGCCCAGATCCCGAGTTCCTGGAGTGTGCATCACCTGCTGTTCTTCACTGCTTTCAACAGCAGATTGTTTGCATTTCTTCTGATTTCTTCCTTTCCTTCCCTCCTCAGATTGAGGTGTGACTGAGCTGTCGTTAGTCTTCAATGTTGGAGAGTCTGCTTCTGATCTTCAGTGAGTCTCTTTTCTGTACATTCTTTGGCAAGGACTCTTTAATTTTGGGGGAATCTTAAGCTGTGCCTTTTCAGAAGTTGTTAGTAAAATGTCAGTAAATGATGGCATCTGTAAGAGCTGGGAGAAGGTAGGTATGCCATTTTTACGGGCTTCCCAAGACAACACAGACTCCAACATGGCCATCACAGCTACAGATGGTGCAGAAGCAAAGGGGCCGACAGGCACAGAGTGTGTGGATCCTCCCTAAGTCATTCCACGCAGTAAGTGGCCAAAAGAAGTGGACATCTACACTTCCCAATGTCTCTAACATCTGCTGTCCATGTTTTTATTTGCTGGAGTTCAAGGCCCTGGATTTTCTTAGGATTGCAGTACTTCTCTAGGAAGGGGTCCTTTGGTTTTGCCTTGTAGATCAGATCCTTCAACGTTCCTTTTCATTAAAGGCTCTAGTCAGCAATGCTGAGGATGCATTAGCCATGGCAAAGGTAACCCGATACATGTAAGGGTGCACACAGAAAGGCAGAAATCTGATTACACACTGAAAATCTTTATCTGATGAGTACATGTCTGGGCTAAGATCAGCCCAGCTCAACACCAGTCGTTCCTCTGGTTGGTTTTTAATTTTCATCAAGAAATCCATCTTTCAGTGGCTCTACCAGCTCCCACTCGGGTTGTGATCAGAAGAACATAGAATCCTTTTGCAAGGCAATCTCAGTGTCGTTTGCAGAATAGTTGTTGTGGCCTAGGGACTTCTTTAGCAGCTCACAATGGAACAAGACATGATTTGCCGTGATAACATTAAGGTAGTAGCTCTGCAGGCCTCTCTGTCTGTCAACTATGAATTCATGGCTCATGTTTCCAGTCAGTTTCTTAGGAGGAAGAGGCAGACTCAGGTCTGTAATCCGCAAGCTGTTGTTTAATAAATCAAAGTCACTATATCTTCTAGCAATCCACCAGCTGTTTTCTGTGGAAATTCCTCTTTGCACCCTGAAGATATATTCTGTGTGTGACTGCAGACTCTGGCTCCCCTCAACAGTTGTTGTCAGCGGCACCATGTCATCAAGCAGTGCCATGTCATCAGGCAGCGCCTTGCAGGCTGACAGCTTCTCCATGAAAACCATCCTGGGCTGCTGCCACTGCCTCTCAAGCCGGGAAAGGAACCAGAAGGGCTAAGTCCACCACCCAAACACAGCAAGTCTCTTGCTAATGTAAATCAATAGATTCAGTTTTAAAAGGAAGTATACAAATTCAGAAGGAGGCTAACCACACAACATTACACTAGAGAAACATGGGTAACTCAAGAACATTATAAATGAAGTCCACAGTGTGATTGGGACTGATAACCACAGCCCCATGTGAGGAAAGACTTTGGTACTCAGGATCTGAAGCAACCCCTTCCCAAAGGCCTTACCCCAGACCATTACCAACCCTCCCAAGCATATTCCTGGTTTTAGAAATGGAGCTGTTTCTTTTTCAATACATCAGGCCCTTAGAGAACTCTCCCAAGATCTGTGCAGGTTGCAAAACTCAAAGAGGCCTACTTTCAAGTATCTTCTAGAAGTTCTGCACTTTGCACTTGACATTTACATGTAAGATCTATTTGGAGTTATTTTTATTGTAAATGGTATCTCATGTACTGGGTAGCCCTCCACTACTAAGCTCTGATGGAAGAAGAGGGGACTCTGTGACATTGAGAGGCCAGAGCTGCCTGCTTGGTTCAAAGGATGCCTAGAGGTATCTGACCCCTTGGCCTGTGTATGACAAATGACTCGTGCCTAAATGCCCAGTCCTCTGAGAAAGGAATTGACCCCCAAGCTATGTTAGCTCTTTATCCTTGGAAGAACAGATAACTGTAGCTGCCTGACTGCGAGAGGACCTGGGGATAATTTTATATAAATTCTTCAATCCCCTCCCAAGATAAATGACTAACCAATTTGTGACCCCCATGCCTCTGCTTAACCTTGGTTTTTTTTTTTTTTTTGCCTTTATAAACTTCCTGCAATAGAGGGTTGGCAGTTTGAGTACTGGAGATGCTTTCAGAGCACCCAGATTCCATTCCCAGTACATACAGAAGCTCCTATCCATAACTCCAGTATCAGGGGTTCTGACACCATCTTCTGGCCTCCCTGTTCATTGTAAGAAGAGGAGACTTGTACCATAACAATTATATTTAAAGCTGTGTGTGGCGGTGCATTTTAGTGCCAATAATCTGAACACAGAAGCAGAAAGATCTCTGTGAAACTTAAAGACTGAATTACATAGTCTACACACACACACACACACACACACACACAGGAAAAGAACAAAACTTAATAACATACAAGAATAGGAGTGTTGGATAAGTAAGACAATAAAATACCTCTTAAAGTCATTTCAGGTGTCTTCCACTGGTGCCATTGTATCATTTTCAAAAATGTATATTGCCAAGTGTGTAGCACGTGTCATTAATCCATCATTGGGAGGCAAAGGGAAGCTGATATCCATCAATTTGAGGCCGTGGTGGTTGACATAGTCACTTTCAAAGTAAGTCCCATCGCAAAAACACCTAAAAAATTTAAAGGTGTATAAATAATTTTGATTTGTTTTCTTTTTTTGAGATGGGGTCTCTTTTGATACCCAGGTGACCTTGGTTCACTAATTACACTATGATGCATAATACATGTTGAGTCTTTAATTTACTCAGGTATATTTATTTAATCTTGCACCTTTGGGCCATCATTCCTAGCATGACAGTCTTCTACAGAAGAAAGACTTTCCAAATAATTTGATATTGGTCTGGTTATATATTAAGGAAACTGTTCTTAGCAGGGTTGCTTCCTCATGGAAGTCTAGACTCGTCAATCTTGGGATCACTCTGACTCTCAAAGGCATGATATTTATGCTACCTGCTAGTGCTAAAGTTAAAAAAAAGCTCCTCCCTGGTTTCTATATTTGGACGGCGAGATTCTTCTGGGTTCTGATCTCCCACAGAACGCTTCTGTATAGTTACCTTTCTACTGCTGTGATGAAATACACTATGTCCAATGTGATTTATAAAAGACAGCATTAAATTGGGCTTACAGTTCCAGAGGATTAGAGTCCACCATGGCCCAGTAAACACATGGCAGAAGGAAAAAATGAGAGCTCACACTGAA